CAGAAGCAGCTTCAATTGAAGGCCATACACAGGCCTAGGTTAAAAAGTCCCCCCAGCAGCAGTGTGGGGAGACGACTATCAAGAGTCCAATGGCTGAGTGGCGATCCGGGAAGTCAGCGTTGTGATTGCAGATGCAATGCAGAGATTCTATGAGGTGATGCCGTGGGTGCGAAGAAGATCAATGGCTGACATCTAAGTTACACAGGGGGAGTACCTTTATCCGCTTGTAACATCAGGAAATCGGTGATGGCCTTTCGCTGTTCGTAAAGGCGGTCTAACATATGTAGGGTTAAATTCCACCCTTGTTGCAACGTCGCAGATCAGGCGATGCTGTGGAATTCCGTTCTGCCGCTGCAGCTCAAGGAGGGTGTGCTTTGCGGTGTAGGAATGGCTGAAATGCATGCAAAGTTTACGTGACATTTTAAAGATGTCTTGCAGTGGGATGGTGGATTTTAGGAACCGCTTGACAACCAGATTGAACACGTGAGCCATGCATGACGCATGGCACAACCTTCCTTGACGCAGAGCAGACACCATGTTCTTTCCGTTGTCGGTCAACATGGTTCCGATTTTCAGTTTGCGCGGAGACAGCCATCTGTCGATTTCTCTGTTCATTACACTCAGAAGTTCCTCCCCTGTGTGACTACGTTTGCCAAGGCATACCAGGTGCAGCACAGCGTGACACCGTTGCGCCCTGCACATGTGATATGCCGGTCGGGTAATGGGACTTGGCACTGGGGGGGTGGCGGCTGAGGACACGGCGGAAGAAGAGGTGATAGAGGCGGACATCTTTGCTGGACCAAGGACGTGCAAACGTGGAGGCAAAAGCGGCGTGACCTGTCCAAGTTGCTGGTGCGGCTGTGCCGGCACCACGTTCACCCAGTGGGCCGTAAATGACATGTGTACTGTCCCTGACCGTAGTTACAGCTCCACACGTCGGCGCTGCCGTGCACTTTGGCAGAGACCGACATGCTCAAAGACTGGCCCACCATCTCTTCTACATGTGAATGCAGGGCTGGCACTGCCTTTTTGGCGAAGAAATGCGGCTTGGCACTCTCCACCGCGGCGCGGCACAAGCCATCATTTCTCGGAAAGGTGCTGAGTCCACCACTTGGAAAGGGAGGGACTGCAGCACCAGCAACTTGGACAGGAGGACGTTCAGCTTCTGCACCGTCGGGGTGCGTGCTCGCAAAACTGTTGTCTCTTGGAAACGGATTCCAAGAAAGACTGCTGACGGAATCCGTGAAGAGGAGTAGCAGGAGAAGGAGCATCTGAACGAGCGGAAGATGCCAACAAGCGACAACTCCCCTCAGCAGAGGTGTTGGAGCCTTGACTGGCTGATAGAGGGCGATTGACGTCGGGTGACGGAGCAAGTAACGGAGCGGGTGATGGAGCGGGGGCTGGGGCAGGCAGAACCGCCGTATCTTTATCACGGTTTTCCCAGGCCACCGAATGGCGACGCTGCATATGCTGACGCAACGCTGTAGTCCCAACATTGGCCCCCTGGCCACGCTTGACTTTCTGGCCACATAGTCGACATACGGCTACGTTTACTTCCTCGGGCGGCTTGACGAAAAAATTGCCACACCGCCGAGTAGGAAACTTTGCCCCGCTACTCCTCACTGGCTGACTGCTACTTCCTCCGTGCACACCGGCACCACTACTGGCCGTGGTGGTAGCTGCAGTGGAGCTGGTGCTCTACTACTCCGTGGCCGTTTGGCTCCACTGACACTGCTGCTGCGACCCTGCTGCCTCCTGGGCAACCCACCGACTGTTTTGCTCGCTGGCAAGCTGGCACCCTCTTCTCCTGATGATGCGGAAGCAATAGCCTGATGACGACGAGGCTGCCAAGTGCGATCAGCCTCATCATCGTCAATTAGGGTCTCCGCGTCACTACTAGCCCCCTCGGCTGCGTTTGGGTCAGGAGACAGACCTGTCTCTAGACCGGCTACCGAGCCACTCTCCTCGCCAGTACTTCTTCTTCGCCTGGCTGCTGAAGAGGCGATGTCTCCCCCCGTTCCTGACCGCCCTCTGTTAGCTCTTCCTCACTGTACAGTGGGGCTGAGCCCACAGCATGCGATACTTCGCTTGGTGAGGGAACACCAAAGGACAGGGGCAGGTCGAGGACACGTGATTTCAGTGGGCTTGCTCCCGGGCCATGCCAACTAACGGTTGTGTCTGACGTACCCACCGACCGTTGGCTGTAGGTGTCAGAGGTGACCTGGGAAGAGGAAGACGACCGAGTCAACCAATCGATGACGGCAGGGTTGTCGGTGGAGACACGACCGCTGGATGACACCGGGAGCACTGGCCTCTGGCTGCGACTAGTGCTGCCTCGACCCCTTCCTCTGCTGCCACGTCTGCTCGCTCCTGAAACATTGCCTCCTCTGCCACTCCTCTGCATGTTGTCTGACATACTCTTTAATTCAATAAGCACCCCAAAAATAAAACCGGATTTTACTCTTTGAACGTACAATAGTGGTTGTGAAGCAGAAAGTCAGTTTATTTAGCACAATCGGTCAATTGCAGCTTGCGTTGGCTGTATGTAACTGTACGTTTATGTCACTGGAATGCACTAATCACCCAAAAAATATTACCGCCACCCGCGTGTATATGGATTTAAACTCTTTGAACGTACAATAGTGGTTGTGAAGCAGAAAGTCAGTTTATTTAGCACAATCGGTCAATTGCAGCTTGCCGTTGGCTGGAAACTGTACGTTTCTGGTCACTGGAATGCGCTAATCACCCAAAAAAATATTACCGCCAGCCGGCGTGTAAATGGATTTAACTCTTTGAACGTACAATAGTGGTTGTGAAGCAGAAAAGTCAGTTTATTTAGCACAATCGGTCAATTGCAGCTTGCCGTTGGCTGGAAACTGTACGTTTATGTCACTGGAATGCACTAATCACCCAAAAAATATTACCGCCACCCGGCGTGTATATGGATTTAACTCTTTGAACGTACAATAGTGGTTGTGAAGCAGAAAGTCAGTTTATTGTACACAATCGGTCAATTGCAGCTTGCCGTTGGCTGGAAACTGTACGTTTAGGTCACTGGAATGCACTAATCACCCAAAAAATATTACCGCCAGCCGGCGTGTAAATGGATTTAACTCTTTGAACGTACAATAGTGGTTGTGAAGCAGAAAGTCCGTTTATTTTGCACAATCGGCAAACTGCAGCACCAACTGTGCACGACAGCCACCAAAAAAAAAAGGGTGTATGTCACTTTAAATTTTCGATTCTTTGATAGCTGTGGCCCTAAGTAACGATTCTGTGTCCCTGAGTAACGATTCTGTGTCCCTGAGTAACGATTCTGTGTCCCTAAAGTCTCTGTGGCCCTATCTCTGTCCCTTAATACACACAGGTCTGTCTCTCTTGAATGACCGGAGGCTAATGGAGAATTCTAAGATGGCCGCGATTTATAGCTCCACCATTACACAGTGCTGGCTGGCTGCTGATTGGCTAATGCGATCACATGTCATGAATGCATTATGGGTCAGCGCGCCTTGTCTGCGCGCCTTCCCAGAGATCCCCCGCCCCATCTTCTCTGTCCATTTTCTCCATCGCCACACATGTCGCCGCCATTTTTGGGAAAATTTGATTCGTGCATCCGAAGTTTGCTAATCTTCGGATTCGTCGCGAATAGAATTTTTCCAAATCTTCAGAACGAATTCCACTTCGTCATGTTCGATTCGCTCATCTCTAGTTATAACCCCTGTCAGATTTTTTTTCACCATCTGTGTCCCATTGGGGAGACTTACCTTTTACTTCCTGTCCCATAGACAATTGGGAAGTGAGAGGAAATACCTGCAAATTAAGGGAATTCCTTGGGGACCCCCAGATCACTAGAACGAATGTCCCCATTGGAAGATTTCCCCTCCATTATTTTTCTGGGGACAACCCAAAACTTGGGATTTTGTTTTACCTTCACTTTCAATGATAACAGTAAACAGAACAAATAGAGATGGTGAATCTCCTTAACAGGGGCACAAATGGCAATACAAACTGACAGGGGTTTTAATCCCTCTGTACCCTATTTAAAACTATAAAAAATGTTTTGCCTTTAGTTATATTTTAATTCCACTGAAAGACCAGAAGCCCAGTGCTTGATGTTTGTTTTGCATAACAGTCATCAAAATTCATTGGACAAAAAAATAAAAAAAAATCCACAGGGGGAAACGGGCAGCATGCAAGCAAACCTCTCCATATCCCAGAGCAGTGTTTTTCTACCAGTGTGCCGTCTGAGTTCCCTTGTGGTGCCACAAGAACTGTCCCCAATTTACCCTGGATTAGCCCAATGAGTTGCTTGAGGCTTTAGGGTCAGGGGTAAAGCATCATTTATTGCTATGTTGATGGAGGCTGGCTTGCTTGTACCATAGCACTGCATAACTCTGATCCAGGGCAAGCGGCATACAGGACCACCCCAGCAGTCAGAAGACAGAAGTCCACCTCCTCCAGTCCTCTACCACCTCCTGCCCTTTGTTACACCGCTAGAGCCAAAAGTAGGGCTCTGATGTGAATACAGGACTGTGTGATTGGGGGGGGAGCTGTGTAATGTGTGGTTGGGGACTCGTGTGATGGGGCATCCAATGTATAGGAATGAATATAAATGGTGAATGCTTGTGAGCTATTATGAAATGAGGTGTTCAATATGTGACTTTAGATGTCCTTATTTCTCACGTGAGGTTCGCTGGCACTTGCACTGACTCATATGCTAGTGTATATATAATATTTTCAAAATAGATAGTGCCGCGCTCCCATGTACCAATATGTATATCTTATACTTTCAAAGTGCTAATGAATAGCTTTCAAGATACTGCATGTATCAAACAATTATTACTAGTGACTCAAAACATCATTGTGAATATTAATCTTCATGCAAGTGACATTAATAACTGATAATCCTAAGGTGATAGTGCCTATTAAAGTACAGTGATATACAAATCAGAAATACTCCTCTATTCTACTGTGATCCTTATATTTATATTGTGCAAACACATATATATTATGTGCACGTGCTTATGATATATTCAATAAAAAAAAAAAAAAAAAAAAAAAAAAAAAAAAAAGTCTTTCAAATATAAATGTGCAGGTGGATTCTTGGTTCCCTCTCGCCGAGTGCTTAATGGTCTCCCTATGTGCTCACCTCTATATTTGCCTGAATAAATCCAGGCAAATACACTTTTTATCCTTCCAGGATAGATGGGATGGAATGATGCTCTTGAATTATCTCAGAAGGTGGATGTGGATTTATATTTGTTCTCCTGTAGCTGCTCATGAGTGGGTGTACTGACCATCTCTCTGAGGATCTCCCAATTCCCCTCCTGGGGCTGTTTCCTTTTCCAGTCCTCCTTATATCAGCTCAAAGGGTGTTGTTCAATTGAGAAAGGAAGACAAACAGACCATAGTGTCTTATCCTTGTGCAAAAAGGGGGTTTATTGCTGCCAGTTGCACAGTAGTATACAATTGTAGTCCAGCATAAATGTGCTCTGCCTCTGTTCCTGCAGTGCTGTCTACCTGTGTCTGTATTCAGATCACCGAGCCTCTCCAGTGCAATGTCGTGACGTCAGAGCCCCTCCCCTACGCGTATCGTCACAGGGTCACGTGACTTCATCAGGGGGAATGATTAGATCATTCCCCCTGATGAAGTCACGTGACCCTGTGACGATACGCGTAGGGGAGGGGCTCTGACGTCACGACATTGCACTGGAGAGGCTCGGTGATCTGAATACAGACACAGGTAGACAGCACTGCAGGAACAGAGGCAGAGCACATTTATGCTGGACTACAATTGTATACTACTGTGCAACTGGCAGCAATAAACCCCCTTTTTGCACAAGGATAAGACACTATGGTCTGTTTGTCTTCCTTTCTCAATTGAACAACACCCTTTGAGCTGATATAAGGAGGACTGGAAAAGGAAACAGCCCCAGGAGGGGAATTGGGAGATCCTCAGAGAGATGGTCAGTACACCCACTCATGAGCAGCTACAGGAGAACAAATATAAATCCACATCCACCTTCTGAGATAATTCAAGAGCATCATTCCATCCCATCTATCCTGGAAGGATAAAAAGTGTATTTGCCTGGATTTATTCAGGCAAATATAGAGGTGAGCACATAGGGAGACCATTAAGCACTCGGCGAGAGGAACCAAGAATCCACCTGCACATTTATTTTGAAAGACTTTTTTTTTTTTTTTTTTTTTTTTTTTTTTTTTTTTATTGAATATATCATAAGCACGTGCACATAATATATATGTGTTTGCACATATATAAATATAAGGATCACAGTAGAATAGAGGAGTATTTCTGATTTGTATATCACTGTACTTTAATAGGCACTATCACCTTAGGATTATCAGTTATTAATGTCACTTGCATGAAGATTAATATTCACAATGATGTTTTGAGTCACTAGTAATAATTGTTTGATACATGCAGTATCTTGAAAGCTATTCATTAGCACTTTGAAAGTATAAGATATACATATTGGTACATGGGAGCGCGGCACTATCTATTTTGAAAACAATGTATAGGAATGACTCTGGTATGATAGGGGGCTCTCCTGTATAGGAGGGTCTCTTCTGTATAGAAAAACTCTATTGTGATAGGGGGCTCTCCTGTATAGGAGGGTCTCTTCTGTATAGAAACAACTCTATTGTGATAGGGGGCTCTCCTGTATAGGAGGGTCTCTACTGTATAGAGACAACTCTAATGTGATGAGTGGCTCTCATGCACAGGAGGGCCTTTGATGTGAATGGGGCTCTCATGTATAAGGGGCCTCTGATGTGATGGAGGGCGGCGGTCCTCTCAAGTATAGGGGGATTGTGGGAACCCTGGCATAAGGGAGAACTCTGATATAAAGGGGCCTTTGATGTATGGGGGGGGGCCTGTGATGTGAGGCCTCTGATGTAAAGGGGGGCCTCTGAAGTTAATTTTCATCAAGGCAGTTGTATGCATTGTCAAGGCTCTTGTTTCCCATTGATAAGTAACATTTAAGTTTTTTTATATTTGACTGGGAAGTTGTGAGATTTTGGATACTTTTTTAAAGGGTACCACCCCTGAAAAAGGTTGAAAAATGCTGCCCTAGGGTCAGAATGACATATTGGGGTTGATTTACTAAAACTGGAGAGTGAAAAATCTGGGGCAACTGTGCATGGTAGCCGATCCGCTTCTAATTTCAGCTTGTTCAATTAAGCTTTAACAAAAAAAACCTGGGACAAACAGAAAAGGAGAGCAGCGCCGTTCTAAGTGTAGCATCAAAGCATTATTTGCAACTCACCATATAATGGAGATAAAAGCGCTCATCTAGTCATGTAACACTTCTGCAAAAAGCCAACTAGTCCCATGATCCCGCTGTGGTGGATACCGAATGGAAGTGCTGGTGGCTCACCGCACTTCCTGGTAGATCCGCGTCTACCAGGAAGTGATGTCAGAACAGGGAGAGGAATCAGTGGGCGTAGTGCGTATTCAAAGCATGCATGCTCCTTCATCAGGACAAGGGACCTTCCAGGAAGTGCTGGGAGCCATCAGCACAGCCAGGAGCTCCTTTCGCTATCCACTACAGCGAGATCATGGGACTAGACCGGCTTGTTGTAGCGACGTTACATGACTAGATGAGCGCTTTTATCTCCATTACTTTGTGAGTTGTCTATTTGTTTCCAAATAAATAACATTTGATGCTACACTTAGAACGGCGCTGCTCTTCTTCTCTGTCTGTCCCAATGCAGAGTCCTTCCTAGCTCTACAGTGCGCCAGACATCTCCTTTCCTTTTTATGACCAAAGAAAACCTGGAAGCTGATTGGTTGTTACAGCTGCCCCAGATTTTGTACTCTCCGTTTTAGTACATCAACCCCACTATGTTTTCCCTAGTTATAGAACAGGTTTTTAGAACAGAAAATTTGGGTTGAATATAAATCTGCACATAAACTACTCAATAAATACAGCTCTTGTCAATTTTTGCTGTCTGATTAAAAAAAATTTAGAATCATACATACTACTCCAATGTAAAAAAAAAAACATTTTTGCCACATGGATGCCTTTTACCCAGCATGCATCTGTGAAACTTGGACATGAGCTTCAAAAATGCACCAAAATGCAATGCAGATGTATTTTTGGTTTGTTTTTGATGCGCATTATATTCATTTCAATGGGGATCTGCACTCCTTCTTTCCTTTTTTTTTTTTTCTCAAAATGGTACCAACGATGCAGCATGCAGGACTTTTCAAAATGCACTGTACCTGCAGTAGTGTGAAGAGTCCCATAGGATTTAAAGGGATTGCATTTTTGCTACATTTTTATCACAGTAATAATGCATTCGCCATAATCAAGCAAGCTCTTTATATAAGTTTGGTATGTATTTGCTAAATCTCTTGATTGTTTCCAATAAGACCTGCGCTTAGTTGGATTATTCATTTCAGTATTTCTATAGTGGTGATAACAAAGAGAAATGAGTCATTCAAGCAAATGGATTTTAATTGCAAAATGTACAATACACATCGGGATTGTTGAGATTCAGTTAGGATTTCAGACTGTCTAATCTTAATACTTAAGTATATAGTGCCTTGAAAAAGTATTCATACCCCTTGAAATTTTCCACATTTTGTCATGTTACAATCAAAAACGTAAATGTATTTTATTGGAATTTTATGTGATAGACCAACACAAAGTGGTACATAATTGTGAAGTGGAAGGAAAATGATAAATGGTTTTAAAATTGTTTACAAATAAATACCTGAAAAGTGTGGTGTGCATTTGTATTCCATCCCCTTTACTCTGATACCCCTAACTAAAATCTAGTGGAACCAATTGCCTTCAGAAGTCACCTAATTAGTAAATAGAGTCCACCTGTGTGTAATTTAATCTCAGTATAAACACAGCTGTTCTGTGAAGCCCTCAGAAGTTTGTTAGAGAACATTAGTGAACAAACCACATCATGAAGGCCAAGGAACACACCAGACAGGTCAGGGATAAAGTTGTGGAGAAGTTTATAGCCGGGTTAGGTTATAACAAAAAAATACTAAGCTTTGACCATCTCACAGAGCACTATTCAATCCATCATCCGAAAATGGAAAGAGTATGGCAGAACTGCAAACCTATCAAGACATGGCCGTCCACCTAAACTGACAGGCAGGGCAAGTTGAGCATTAATCAGAGAAGCAGCCAAGCGGCACATAGTAACTCTGGAGTAGAGTATATCCACAGCAGAAATCTTAGTCATGCACTCCGCAAATCTGGCCTTTATGGAAGAGTGACAAGAAAACCATTGTTGAAAGAAAGCCATAGGAAGTTATGTTTACAGTTTGCAAAAAGCCATGTGGGGGACACAGCAAACATGTGGAAGAAGATGCTCTGGTCAGATGAGACCAAAATTTAACTTTTTGGCCTAAAAGCAAAATGCTATGTGTGATGGAAAATTAACACTGCACATCACATTGAAAACACCATCCCCACCGTGAAACATGGTGGTGGCAGCATCATGTTGTGGGGATGCTTTTTTTCAGCAGGGACAGGGAAGCTGGTCAGAGTTGATGGGAAGATGGTTGCAGCCAAATACAGGGTAATCTTAGAAGAAAACCTGTTGAAGTCTGCAAAAAACCTGAGACTGGGGTGGAGGTTCACCTTCCAGCAGGACGATGACCCTAAACATCCAGCCAGAGCTACAATGGAATGCTTTAAAGCACATTTATGTGTTAGAATGGCCCAGTCAAAGTCCAGACCTAAATCCAATTGAGAATCTGTGGCAAGACTGAAAATTACTGATTCACAGATGCTCTCCATCCAATCTGACAGAACTTGAGCTATTTGGCTAAAAAGAACGGGCAAAAAGTTAACTCTCTAGATGTGCAAAGCTGGTAGAGACGTCTCCAAAAAGACTTGCAGCTGTAATTGCAGCGAACGGTGGTTCTACAAAGTATTGACTCAGGGGGGCTGAATACAAATGTACACCACACTTTTTAGATTTTTATTTGTAAACAATGTTGAAAACCATTTATCATTTTCCTTCCACTTCACAATTATGTGCCACTTTGTTTTGGTGTATCACATAAAATCCCAATAAAACACATTTATGTTTCTGATTGTAACATGACAAAATGTGGAAAATTTCAAGGGGTATGAGTACTTTTCCAAGGCACTGTATGTAGACCCTCCTTGTTAACCACTTGCCGTCCGCCTGCTGTTTATAAACGGCAGGGCGGTGGCAGTCCAGGGGCGGGTTGCCGTTCATAAACGGCACCCGCCTTTTCTAGCTGTGTGCGCTCCCTGGGAGTGCGCAGCACCACGATCCGGTGCCCCGCTGTGTCCTCCGGACACAGTGAAACACCGATCGTCGGACGGGACCTCTGTACGAGGTCCCAATCATGTGATCACTGATTAGCCAATCAGTGATCACATGCAAAGTAGTAAGCAAGATGTCACTTGTGACATCATTGCTTACTACATGTGAAATCTGTGAATGATCACAGAGGTCACATGGTACAAGGCTATTCACAACAGCCATGTGACAAGCTGTGACCAATCACAGCTCACTCAGTACTTCTCAATGACTGCAAGAATGCAGAAAGAGAGAAAGAGAAATGATTGCTTTTACATCCTATATGGGTGTAAAAGCAATCCGTGTAAAAAAAAAAAAAAAAAAAAAAAAAAAAAAAAATCTTCATCACCCCTCACAAGTAGTACAGTGTCACCAGCAGTCTTTCCCATGATTGTGATTCCTACTGAACCAGACTGAGAGACCATTTAAAGGCTCAGGAACCCTTTGAAGGTGTTATTGCTTAATTAGCTGATTAGAGTGGGACACTTTGAGCCTAGAATATTGCACCTTTTCACAATATTCTAATTTTCTGAGATTGTGGATTTGGGGTTTTCATGAGCTGTAAGCCATAATCATCACAATTATGACAAATCACAGCTTGAACTATCTTGCTTTGCAGGTAATGAGTCTATCTCATATACTAGTTTCACCTTTAACCACTTCCCGACCGGCCGTTGCATATAAACGGCCGGATGGTGGCAGTGCAGGGTCGGGTGGCCGTTTATAAACGGCCTCCCCGCACCCTGCTTGTGCGCGCTCCCTGGGAGCGCGCAGCACCGCGATCCGATGCCCGCTGTGTCCTCCGGACACAGTGAAACACCGATCGTCGGACGGGACCTCTGTACGAGGTCCCGATCATGTGATCACTGATTGGCCAATCAGTGATCACATGCAAAGTAGTAAGCAAGATGTCACTTGTGACATCATTGCTTACTACGTGTGAAATCTGTGAATGATCAGAGGTCACATGGTACAAGCCTATTCACAACAGGCTTGTACCATGTGACAAGCTGTGACCAATCACCCGCTCACTCAGTACTTCTCAATGAGTGCAAGAATGCACACAGAGAGAAAAAGAAATGATTGCTTTTACATCCTATATGGGTGTAAAAGCAATGTGTAAAAAAAAAAAAAAAAAAAAAATCTTCATCACCCCCCACAAGTAGTACAGTGTCACCATGGTGACACTGTACTGCTAGGGTGACAGTATGTAAAAAAAAATAAAATAAAAATAAAAACTAATAATATAAAAAAATAAAATAAAAATGTTTAAAAATTATAATTTTTTGGTTATAAACTAATTTGGATTTTTTTTTTTTACTAAAAAAATAACGGAATAAATTTTGGCCAAGATTTATGATGAAATATTATTTATTTGCAAAATTTTATTAAAAAAAACACTTTTTTTCAAACTTTTTGGACTTTTTCATTTACATAGTAAAAAAAAAAAAAAAAAATCCCAGCGGTGAATAAATACCACCAAAATAAAGCTTTATCTGTCTCAAAAAAATGGTAAAAAATTCATATGGGTACAGTGTTGCATGACCGCGCAATTGTCATTCAAAATGTGATAGCGCTGAAAGCTGAAAATTGCCCTGGACAGGAAGGGGGTAAAAGTGTCCGGACTGGAAGTGGTTATAATAAAAATAACTGGGGCCTGGTTGTAATAATTTTTCCTATTTCTAGATGTAGACCTAGGGCTCCGTACACTTCACAATGTCTTCTATTTTGTATATTCTTTTGTTCTATTTCCATTACAATGTCTGAACAAGCTGTAAGAGGATTACCAGTTGGCAACTACTTTGTCTGTCTCTATTCCAAGGACATGTTGATTTTCTTATCTTACGCTTATTTGCTTTGTCTTTATTATTTGAATGTATCCCTGTCCAATCAGTAAAATGTTATTGAACATAAAAAATATATGTAGACCTAAACAGGAAACATCTCTTATTTGCTTCCTTTTTGTCTGTTAAATACACAATTAAAAGTGTTTTTTGTCATATTTATTCAATAATTGCAAAAAAAAAAACCCTCCAAAAAACTTGATCTTGCCTAAAATCCAATGAGTTTGTAATGACCTGTATTCTCTGCCTCAACTGCCTGTTGAAATTTAGCATTTCTTTGCAGAATACCTCCCCCTTATGATATGGAGAGGTCTTCTATAGTCCTAAAGCACTTTTTGTCCTTGAGGGATTATGCTGATCCTTCATAGATACAGTACAGCGAATGAGTGTTGTCACCCTAGGAGAGGAAGTGTATTAAAATCACTGGGTGAAAATGAAGGAAAACAATAACGAATGCAGTCACCACATCTAAAGACTGGTAGGCTGCAATGTATTCCATTTCTGTTCTTAGGTTTAGATCAACTTTAATGAAATGGTTGGTTTTAATTAAAGAGGATTTATCACCTTCCTTAGTCTGCTATAAAGTATCTCCACAAATGTAATTGATACATTGTTTGGTTTATTCTTCAAAGAAATTCAAGAAGTAACATTTAAAGTGTATGTAAACCCTAACAATGACCTTCTCTTACAGTTTTTGCTCCATTTTGGTCTGTTAATTATACCATTGAAAGCATTTTGTTACATCTGTTCAATAAGAATATCCCTGTTGATCCTGCCAGAAATCTACTGCTGTTTGGTATACTCTGTATTGGTATCTCAGGCAGTGTTATCAGTCCTGCTCAGTTCACCTCTGTGGACTACAGAACACCTCCCTTGAATGGAGATGAAGAGAGGGGAAGGAGCTCTATAGTCATAACACATTTCCTGTCCTAGGGTGACTACACTGTTCCTCCATAGATACAGTGCTGTAAGTGAGTGTTCTCACCTGAGGACAGGAAATGTTACTGGCAGGATCACCAAGTGAAAATATTGGAGAAAAAGCCATAATTCAACAACAACATCTTAAGGCTGGTAAGCTGCAATATTGCACATTTTTATTTTTGGATTTCAATGTACTCTATTGGCAGATCAATGCATTTTATTTTATCTATCTTTTTGCTACTGTTCTGGAAAACTATGCAGGTACTGTTAAGGCAAAGTGGCCTTAGCAGATATCTAGAATAAAACTTCTTCTGCTGTGCCTTCTAGGTGTGTGCCGTATATCAGACCGTGCCATGTCGGGAGCTGGGAATGGTATTGAGGTGAACTATACATCAATTTCTCTATACGTTATCATGTGTGGGACCTGTGAGGATATACTATGAGGAAGGGGTATTGAATTAAAATTCAAGGATGTCTGGTCACTAAACTTTTCTTCTGGCCAAGGTCGGAATCTCATGTTTGTGCTATCACTCAGAGTATAGTCACTGTATGCCTATCAAAAAATGAGAAATGTACAATTTCCATAGCATTTCAACAATATTTATTGTCCAGATTCAGTTACGACATTAAACATGTGGACAGTTGGAACTAGGATGGCTTTACATTTACTTATGTCTTTGTATGGAATACAATCAACTATCCTTAGCAGAAGCAACATGGAAACAAATAACTCTTTAATAAAACATAAAAAGCACATCCATATTTCAAGTAAAAGAAAATAGCACCTTCTGACTTAAATAACTAAAGGTGTCAATCTGAACTTGCACACATTATCCTGTTTTCATTCAATTGTTTTGAAAGATGCCCAACAGAGTGCCCCTTAACATACAATGTGGCCATCAGAGTGACCCTTAATATAAATGTGCCCATCAGAGTGGCCCTTAACATACAATGTGCCAATCAGAGTGCCCTTATCATAAAATGTGCCCATCAGAGTGCCCCTTAACTTAAAATGTGCCATCAGAGTGTCCCTCAATATAAATGTGCCCATCAGAGTGTCCCTCAATATAAATGTGCCCATCAGAGTTCCCCTTAACATACAATGTGGCCCATCAGAGTGCCCTTAATATAAAAATGTGGCCATCAGAGTGCCCCCTAACATACAATGTGCCCATCAGAGTGCCCCTTAATATAAATGTGGCCCATCAGAGTGCCCCTTAACATAAAATGTGCCCATCAGAGTGCCCCTTAACATAAAATGTGCCCATCAGAGTGCCCCTTAACATAAAATGTGCCCATCAGAGTGCCCCTTAACATAAAATGTGCCCATCAGAGTGCCCCCTAACATAAATGTGCCCATCAAAGTGCCCCTTAACATAACATGTGCCCATCAGAGTTGCCCCTTAAACATAAATGTGGCCATCAGAGTGCCCCCTAACATAATTGTGCCCATCAAATCTTAACATACAATGTGCCCATCAAATTGCCCCTTAATATAAATGTAAGGGCCCATCAGAGTTCCCCTTAACATAAATGGGCATCAGAGTTTTAATATTAAATGTGGCCATCAAAGTGCCACATTTTATATATATGGGGCACTCTGATGGGCACATTTATGTTAGAGGGCAATCTGATGGGCACATTTTATATTAAGGGAACTCTGATGGGCACATTTTATATTAGGGGCACTCTGATGGGCACATTTTTTATTAGGGGGCAATCTGATGGGCACATTTTTATTAGGGGGCACTCTGATGGGCACATTTTATGTTAGGGGGCAATCTGATGGGCACATTTTTATTAGGGGCACTCTGATGGGCACATTTTATATTAGGGGGCACTCTGATGGGCACATTTTATGTTAGGGGGCAATCTGATGGGCACATTTTATATTAAGGGACACTATGATGGGCACATTTTATGGTAGGGGGCACTCTGATAGGCACATTTTATGTTAGGGGGCACTCTGATGGGCACATTTTATATTAAGGGACACTATGATGGGCACATTTTATGGTAGAGGGCACTCTGATGGGCACATTTTATGTTGTGCCCATCAGCAATACCCTTTAACATTAACATTAAATTTGGCCATTATTATTATTATTATTATACAGTATTTATAAAGCGCCAATAGTTCGCTCAGCGCTGTACATTACAGAGGGGGACAGAACATGTGACAGAACAATACCAATACAATGCAAAACATGAGGGGATTGAGGGCCCTGCTCTTTCGAGCTTACAATCTAGGAGTGCATCAGAGTGCCCCTTAACATTAAATGTTCAGTTCAGCTTGCCCCTGTAAGAACACACCCTACCTTGAGGTCAGACAGGAGCCGGCATATGTAGCAAGCTGCAGGAGCTGTGTTGGGATCCTTGCTGAAGGGGGACTTGTGGACAGGTAGGGAACAGGAGAGACCGTGAGCTGCAAAGGACGGGACAAACGTGTGACGTCATCGGTTGCTGGAATGCCCGCCCTGCCGAGCAGCGGATCTGTCATTCTAGTCTGGTGGTCTGGACAGGAGCGCTGCTCGGGACATTTTCGGACCGCGGACCGCCATTTAGTGACCACTGCTATGAGGGATGATGGCCCTGATTGATTAAAGTGCCAGGTCTGGGGCTGTCATTCTTATCTTGAAAAGTGGGTCACTGATCTAAACAAGCATGCAGGAAGAGGGGGCGGACTCTTCATATCTCACTGGCTGCAGGACCAACATGATGGAGCAATGGCAGATCCCATACTGTATATCTAATTGATCACTTTATGGAAAGCTTCCATTAAGAGGAGCTCCCATGGGGGGGTGGCAATAATTAGGGACTGTGAATAGAATTCATCAGTCTTCTGCTATAAATGAAGTACTTTCATCTTCCTTCTACTAGTGTTGGGTGGAGTTCTCAAAGAACATGATACATTGCTCCTATACAGTATTGGTATTTTATGACCAGATATAAAACTAGATCAGGTTTTCAAAAGTTACATCATTTTTGAACACTTCTTACGAAATGGATTTAGCAATAATGGGTCATGGGTCACTGCACTGGTGGCAGAAACACATCCCAGGTATCCTGTCTCCTGTATGGCCATTGACCTGCATGTCAGCCACTGCCCGTGTTGTTTTTATAGGGTGTTGGCACTCTGTACAACATCACTCAGGCCTCTCCTACTTGTGAGATATACAGTAATATAGAATTGCCTCAATAACTGGTTTTACAAGTTCTGTCTGGGCGACAGCACCTTCCTCCTCCAAAACCACAGCTCTTTGTCCGGTTTGTTTTTCACTACTTTCATAAATGAGTTTTTACAAAGTGCTAATAAAACAATAAGAACATTTCCCAGCAAAATGAATGATTTTAACAAAAAAGCAAAACATTACTTTAAAGTTCCACTCCAGCTTTTTTAAAAAGTTTTTAATTATGTTGGAAAAAGTTGAGAACTTCATTTTTTATGTGATATGTACACAGAACACATCTTTTGGCTCCTTTGCCTTCCTTAATTAGAAAAATAATAAAAACATACATCCTGTCTCCTGATTACTTTATTTAAAGCGACCCATTTGTTTTACAAATGTTACTGAGGCAAGGAACCCCTGGAAAATAGAGTGTATACACTTATCTTTCCTACTACTCGCGTTGCTGGACACCGATCTGATCCTGAGAAATCTGTATCTTCTGGGCCCCCTTCAGCTCTCATTGGTTCCTTCTCATGACCTCCATGTCACCACTGTATCCTGTAGTGTCATAAAGGCCAGAAGGAGAATTCCATGACAGCCATGGAGGGACCCAGGTGATTGACACTCCTAGAAATGCTTGTTTCCCTGCAGACTTTGGGGGGTCAATTCTACTGACCAGATCAGAGTTTGGTGGTAAGGGCAGAAGGAATGGTTATTATATACACTCCTCTTTTACAAGGATATCCTGCCTCAGCAACGTTTGTGTAACGATAGTCACTTTAAAGCCTAGGTTTAGTCAAAATGAAAAAAAAAAAAAAAAAAAAAAAAATCAGCACAAGGGACATTACTGATCCTGATGTGTCCTTTGTGTTGCTGGCTCCTGCTTTCCTTGAAATCTTCATCCTCCAACTCCCACCTTTCCCTGTGCAGCAGTGGTATTTAGAACCTATGGAGCAATCATATGCACTCATCAAGAGTGCCTGACTGTGCCCACCTTTTCTGCCCCCCCTCCTTCATTCATAAAAGTCATTTCTACAGCCTTAATGAATGAATGGCCCCTATGAATGGCAGGAGCCAGTAGCACAAGGGACACATTGGATTAATAGTTAATGTCCCTTGTGTTGATTTTTTTAAAATATTTTTTATTGACTAAATGTAGGTTTTAAACCTGTATCAGATTAAAATGATCAGCAAGGACCTGCAATATTTAATATTGTAGCTGTATATGTTATATCGCTTACCCGACCCTTAACCACTTGCCGCCCACCCTATAGCACATGGGTGTCAAACTGGCGGCCCTCCAGCTGTTGCCAAACTACAATTCCCATGAGGCATTGCAAGACTGAGTTACAAGTATGACTTCCAAAGGCAGAGGCATGATGGGATTTGTAGTTTCGCAACAGCTGGAGGGCCACCAGTTTGACACACCTGATACTGTTACAGGACGGATGTGTATATATATATAAACATGATTTTGCTCTTCTGCCACTGGGGGGCTCACACCTGGTGTCAGAGCGCTGCTTCTGCTGTGATTGGACACAGCAGAAACCGATCAACAGGTGCCAGCCAATGGTTTAGTGCCAGCACCTGTTGATCGCCAAGGAGACTGACATAACACAACTCTGTCTATATAAACAAGGCAGAGCTGTGTTATGTCAATGGCGATCTGCTATATTTTGTTCAGGGAATAAAATCTAGCAGATTGCCTAGTAAAAACAGCACATAGTAAAAAAAACACTGACTAGACACACAACCCTTTGAGCGCCCTAGATGTTTAACCCCTTCCCAGCCAGTGTCATTAATACAGTGGCAGTGTATATTTTTAGCACTGATCAGTGTATTAGTGTCACTGATTCCCACAAAGTGTCAGTTAGTGTCAGACTGTCTGCCGCAAAATCGCAATCCCACTATAAGTCGCTGATTGCCGCCATTACTAATACATACAAAAAAAAAATTCAGTACATATACTGCCCTTTGTAGACCCTATAACTTTTGCGCAAGCCAATCAATATATGCTTATTGGGATTTTTTACCAAAAATATGTAGCAAAATACATTTTGGCCTACATTATGAAGAAATTTGATTTTTAAATTTTTTTTTTCATTGGATATGTTTTATAGCAGAAAGTTTTTTTTGTGTGTGTATATATATGATGTAAAATGAGAGTGAGTGTGCGCTCCTACAGTGAATGGCAACAGAGAACGAAGTGTAAGTTAACCTTCTGGGTGAGGAAGAGAGACTTAAAGGGTATCCTTTTGTAGGGATAGGCTGGTGGCTGTATGGTTTGCCCTTCTAAGCGTCAGGATCCCTACATTAGGGCCCACTGCATAATGAAACCCTCCTAGGGAGCCAGAGGCCTAGACCACAGTGTAGGAGGCCTAAAGTATACAGCCTCATCCCTCCAAGCCTTCAGACTGTCCCTTGTGCTTATTTTGTTTTATAGGTAAACTTACGGTTTAACAAATCTGCTCCTTTGTAAATAAGCTTGGAGTACAATCACTATTCCCCCTTTTTTTGTTTTGCGTGCTGGCTAATAAGCAGAATCCCATACTGGCATCTTGCATCTCTTAGGGGCTCCGCAGGTGTGATTGTCCTGCCAGAGTTACTAGGACAGATATGACAAAGCCAAGTCATGGTGTGACAATAAGTGACTATTTTTTCCATAATGTGGAACCATTGCAGATGCAAGGGAGTGAAACCATAATTGGAGTTTTCAATTCTTGTTCTCACTAATGATGTCCCCAAGTGTTATGTAAGGTGGATAAGTCCAGCCACTCGTGTCCTCCTTAATCTGAAATGTACATTTAATAGACTTCTGGATCATCACAGAAGCGAGGCAACTGTCATTTTTAGAAGATGATTTTTGGAATTTCACCTCCACATTTCCTTAAAGGATAAGTTCACCTTGTGAACATGTTACATGTTTCCATCTGATTTTAGGGTGGAACATGTAACATGTTCCCAATGGTGCAGTCACTGCCCACTGCCCCCCCCCCCCCCAACAGAAGTACAGGAAGAAGTCCCCTGTACTATCTGTCAGATTTGAAACCAGTGCGGTCATGTGGGCGGAGTTTTGTGAATGGATGCACTACAAGTCCCATCAGCCTTAGTGGCTGTGGGCTTATAGTTTTCAATGAACTACCATGGTGCTGTGGAGCGCCGTGGTAGTTCATTGAATCTTCCTGTCAGTATTTCTGCTTGCTCATTCATCCCATACGGGCAAGCAGATATACTGACAAATCTGCAGGAGACCTGCATGGCACCGGCGGTCTACTGATCAGTGGTGCAATGCTGCAACAAATATGAATTTTGTTATTTTTGTGCAAAAGGTGAACTTATCTGTTAAGGGCCGGTTCACATATATGCAGATTGAATGCGGTTTGAAAAGCATCCAAACCACATGACATGTGAAACAACATTGCATCCTATGGTTCCTGTTCACATATGCTGGTACAGATTTAGTGCGGTTTGAAAAAGAGTCATGTCCGATTTCTGAGCAGTGCCTTCAGGTTCAGGTGTAGGCTATTGAATTCTATGGGAACCATTTCTAAATCTCACATGTGTAAACAGGATAAGATCCTGAGCTAATCTTGTCCCGAACCTGATGTAATCCTGATGTGAACCGCTGAACTACTGTATCAATTAGCTGGGAAACCTGAGTTTCAATCTGCAGCGCACATGTGTGAATCAGCTCTTAATCACCTCTGGGCATTGTAGAATTGCAGTGCTTTCACACCTCTTCTCTTGTATTGTTCAGGTACCAGGAGGGCCGAGTGTTTGTTGTAGATGTACTTTCCAGACAGCCAGACTGAAGTAGATGAAGTTGTTCTTGCAGGAGACATTATTGATGACATTAATGGAGTGTCACTACGCCATGCATATAATGGACAGGTGAGGATTATGGAATTGGTCTGTTTAATCCAATAATAATCAGTTCCTTTTTGTTGCAGTAGTACCCACTTCTTATTTCATGACCCTTTATGGAAGACTTTTTTTCTAACTATAAAAAGGCACAATCAGAACTATTAGACCTCATGCTCATTGGCACATGGTGTATTACAACATGGTGTATTTTCACGTTTGGGAGACTTAGCTGCAGCTTACAGCCGACCATAATAATGAATAGCTGCTTGCAGCTATATGCCATACTTGCAAAAGCGTAATCTCTGGATGCACACAATCTACATCCAGGGATTTACTCTATGCGCAAGTTTACCTGAGTACAGTGTACAGTTGCAAGAAAAAGTATGTGAACCCCTTGGGATTACGTGGAGTTTTGCATGAATTGGGCATAAAATGTGCTCTGAACGTCATCTAAGTCACAACAATAGAAGAACACAGTCTGCTGAACATAATACTACACAAACATTAGATGTTGCCATGGTTTAATTGCACATAACATGTAAACATTCACAGTGCAGGGAGGAAAAAGTATGTGAGGCCCTAGCTTAATGACTTCTCCCAGAGCTAATTGGAGCCAGGAGTGAGCCAACCTTGACTCCAATCAGTGTGATGATATTGGATGTGTTGCTGACAGCTGTCCTGCCCTTAAAAAACACCCACCTGTTTTGGGTTTACTGGTTTCAAGAAGCACTGTCTGATGTGAACCATGCCTCGCAGAAAAGAGCTCTCAGAAGACCTACGATCAAGAATTGTTGACTTGCATGAAGCTGGAAAGGGTTAAAAAAGTATCTCCAAAAGCCTTGATGTTCATGTGTCCACGGTAAGACAGACTGTCTACAAATGGAGAAAGTTTAGCACTGTTGCTACTCTCCCTAGGCATGTTTGTCCTGTAAAAATGACTGCAAGAGCACAGCGCAGAATGCTGCATGAGGTAAAGAAGAATCCCAGAGTGTCAGCTAAAGACCTACAGAAATCTCTGACACATGCTAACATTTTTGTTGACACATCTACAATAAGGAAAACATTAAACAAGAATGGAGTACATTAGAGACACCACGGAGGAAGCCATTGCTGTCCAAAAAGAATATTGCAGCACGTTTGAAATTTGCAAAAGAGCACCTGGATGTTCCACAGCACTACTGGCAAAATATACTGTGGACAGATGAAACCAAGATTGAGTTGTTTGGGAAGAACACACAACACTATGTGTGGAGAAAAAAAGGCACAGCACACCAACATCAAAACCTCATCCCCACTGTAAAACATGGTGGAGGCAGCATCATGGTTTGGGGCTGCTTTGCTGCCTCAGGGCCAGGACGGATTGTTGTCATTGATGGGAAAATGAATTCCAGAGTTTATCAAGACATTTTGCAGGAAAACGTACAACCATCTGTCCGCCAACTGAAGCTCCGCAGAGGATGGGTGATGCAACAGGACAATGACCCAAAGCATACAAGTAATTCAACAAAACAATGGCTGCAACAGCACAGAATACGCCTTCTGGAGTGGCCCAGTCAGAGTCCTGACCTCAACCCGATTGAAATGCTGTGGCATGACGTTAAGAGAGTGATTCACACCAGACATCCCAAGAATATTGCTACACTGAAACAGTTTTGTGAAGAGGAGTGGTCCAAAATTACTCCAGATCGCTGTGCAGGTCTGATCTGCAACTACAGGAAACGTTTGGTTGAGGTTATTGCTGCCAAAGGAGGGTCAACCAGTTAATTAAGTCCAAAGATTCACATAATTTTTCCTCCCTGCTCTGTGAATGTTTACATGTTATGTGCAATTAAACCATGGCAACATCTAATGTTTGTGTAGTATTATGTTCAGCAGACTGTGTTCTTCTATTGTTGTGACTTAGATGATGTTCAGAGCACATGTTATGCCCAATTCATGCAAAACTCCACGTAATCCCAAGGGGTTCACATACTTTTTCTTGCAACTGTATACCCATGTACAGCTGGCATATAGCCATTCATTGTTATGGTTAGCTCTACGCCACAGCTGTGCATCCCATATGCAGAAACACACCTAAAATTTATGTTGTATGACTTCACGCACCCACATACAGAAAGTCTTAGCCAGGGGCGGACTGACAACTCATGGGGCCCCAGGGCAATAGGGGATCATGGGGCCCCTTTGTCCTTGCCCAAACTCAAAAAAGCCTATGAAAAAGGTACCAGGGGCATCTCATGGGGCCCCCTACTGACCCCGGGCCCTCGGGCAGTGCCGAGTTTCCAAATGGTCAGTCCGCACCTGGTCTTAGCATAACCTGTTGTTGTGAGGTCCATATCAATCACATTGCTCCAATAGAAAATGGCAGGTGCAATCTGATTTGATTAGTGACCACAATAGAGACCGTTTTCTTAGTCTATAATTTTTTTACATGACTGCTGAGATTTTGGGTTCTGGCGATGGGTAAGGTGGTTGAAGAAAAGGGACTAGGAATAATGAATATTTTTTTTCCTTTCCTAGTTTAAAGTTTGGTAAATTTTAAATTTACATACAAGTCCTCATGCACACGGGACGTTTTTATAGCTGCTGTTTTTGGCTTTTGACGTTTTTTTCTACAGCCAGTAAACTCCCCAGCAGGTTATCCTATGTGTCCATGCACACATAAACTGTTATCAACATTTTTTTGGCAGGGGTGTTTTTTGACTGAAAAAATTCCCAAGCCTAGTGGGTTTCTAGAGGAGTTTTTTAGCTGTAAAAATGCTCCAACGCTGAAAAATGCGGCAAGACTCCACTAACCACTAATGCAGAAACGCTAAAGAACGCTGAAAAACTCATGTTTTTAACATGACTTTACACAGCTAACGTTACCAGCGTTATTAAAACACCCCATGTGCATGGAGCTAATGCTTATAAATGTTTCACTTTTTGGAGTAGAAATTTTGGCTCTTACCAGGTTAAATGTAAAGCTAAACTCTGGGCAATCCACTGATGAACAACATACCTGTCAAAGCATTTGTACTTCTGCTGATCCAGTTCTGAGAGTTACAGAGCCCATCACACAGCACAGCCGGGATGATGAGTCATTCTTTCTGCACCCAGACTTCTGAATTCTGGGCAGTGAAAGAGCAGCAGAAAACTAATGAGGTCATCCTACTTCTCTCCTGCTATCAGGATGTTCTTTGTGGGCATGTTGGCATGCAAAACACCTGATTGGCTATTAGTCATGCCTCTTCTTCTTCCACTATGAGAGCAGATGTACAGAGCATTGAAAGAGGCTGATACGAAGGCTGGCTATACACTAGTAGAATGTAATTCTGAAGATGTTCTATTTATTTTCTATTCATTAGTGGGGTCAAATCAATGTTTGTTTTTGACTGCAGTGACGAGAAGATTAGAAGGGGCAGGATAGAAATTTTTTCTCAAACGACTGAATGTCTAACAGTGTGTTTGGTTTTCATTCAGGAAAGTCCATTCATTTCAAAATCAAATGTTAAAAGGAATTGAAACTTTGAAGTACTTTTAAACTACATTCATTAAGACGTCTAATGTACTGCGAACTTTTGTACAAATGTTCTTTCAGAAATATACTAGTGCATGGCCAGCTTAAGTCAAAATCAGCTACTTACAGTAGCCTTAATCTGTGCATTTTAAATCTGCTCAGAGTTCAGCTTTAACTACTTTTCTGATGTGCCTGTTGTTTACGGAGCTCAATAGCTCAATTACTCACAGCTGAATGAGATGATTAATTCACACTCCCTTCTTCCTCTCTCTCTGTTTGCAGGACTCATTAAAGTAGAATTTCAGCTTTCCATTGCCTATTTTTAAATAGTTAGTTTTGACCAAGCTGGTCCAAATTAACTATCTCATGATATAACTATGCAGCCACTGTGTGTTCTGTAATATACTACAGTAGCAGGCGTTGTGTTTCACCAGCAGTATTGTTGACGTCCAGTCTGCCAAAACTAAGAAAGTCGGGCTGGTTCACACTAGACATCACACAGGAACACGCTGTGCATTCCTGCACGATTCACATGTGATCTATTGAATGGGCTGAAATTGCGCTGGACTGCACCAAAAGTAGTGCATGCACTTCTTTAATTAAATGCACAAGCACCAGATTGCATGGTACTACTGTACCATGTGATCCGGTACAGGCAAACGCACTGCGTTTGATACCTACGTTTGGGGTGTAATTAAATTGACATTGACACCTGCTGGAGATTTGCAACTACAGTACATTTTAAACGTGGTGTGGAAACTGCACACGGAATGCAGGTTTCCTGCACCGTTTTCTGGTATGAACTGGCCCTGAATGCTTTTACACCATTCAGGAGAAGCCTTGTATTTCTAAGAATGATTACAAGGCTTTTTCTGATTGGTAGAAGTAGGAATCGTGACATAATCTGCCCATCTTTCACCTTGACCAATCAGATGAAACCTTGTATCACTGATAAAAATATGAATAGCATAGAAGCACTCAGCCCGACTCTTAGGCTGCATTCACACTTGAGCTTTTTGTAGCAAAAATCTCAAGTGTGAATGCAGGAGCACATTGGATCATGCTTTGCTGGGTTTTTTGCCTTCCTCTGGATCAACTGTGGGTATAGGATTATAACTTTTTCTTCTTTTGTTTTTTTTTTTTTTTTTTTAAATGGTTGAACTGGATGGATTTTTGTCTTTTTTCAGCCAGACTAACTATGCAACTTTGTAGCTTGAAGCTGCAAAAAAGCTCAAACTTAAAAAACCAATTGTTCTCAATGATGCTTGTTCACACCTGATCGCACGAACAGGCAGCATTGAGAACAATTGGTTTTTTAAGTTTGAGCTTTTTTGGAGCTTCGAGCTTCAAGCTACAAAACACTCAAGTGTGAATGCAAACTTATTTAGTTCTAGCAGCAAACTAGAAGTCACCCGTACTGCTCCCGGAACACGGAAATAGTTTGTTGGGACCAGCTTGGCCCAAACAAACTATTTAAAGTCAAATGAAACCTGGAATTCTACTTTAATGGTTTATATTTATGAGCCTAGAAATTGTGTAACAGGTATAACTTTTTGCTTTAGCTGAC